CTAAGTATTCGCGGGTTTACAGCAGTCTCGCGGGTTCACAGCATTCTCGCGGGTTTACAGCAATCACGTGCCTCACATGTTTGGCATACTTTGTCCTCTCATTACCATGAAGGACAAACTTGCTCAAATGTACCAATACATTAAATTTAAACTAAAATTTCAACATCGAATGTTATAGAATATCTAAATAAATACTGATTACAATGTAGCTTTGTTTGTAGAAACAGCATTATTAAAAAAAAGTTATGAAAATATATTAGTAATAATGCAATATAAATGCCAGCAAAAACAACATTTATTAAAATACTTTCATATGCAACAGCATTGACATTAAATGCAGGGACATTATTAACGGATTACAACACCTGTACAAATAGTTATAATCACAATATCCAAAAAAAAATCAACTGATTTAAAAATCAGAAAAAATGTCGAAGATTACATAACTTAGAGTGCGCCATGTGATTGTCTCTTTCACCAACTTTCATTACGACCTAAAGAAATAGAACAAAGCTGGATGACCAATCCTCATATGAAAATGTAACATTCCAAAGTATTCCACTAGCCTCTTTGGGGAAAGAAGAAGAAGAAGAAGAAGAAGAAGAAGTAGAAGAACAAGAACAAGAAGAAACACAGCAATATCAGTAAATCTGCATGAAAATAATTTGTGATTTATAAAACTTGCAGGTATATTATTTAATCAATCAAAGGGAAAATGAGCTCAAGGACACGTATCAATTGATCAACATATCTAATATTGAGAGTATATTTCTCTTCCTGATTAAAGTTACACTGATGAAATTGGTATACATGATGAACGTTGATTATTTACAAGCGTATATACTAAAAATAGGCATGAGCCGTTATGTGTATACCATATATGGTTTGATAACACCTCCTGTATACTGATATAAATCTTATCTGGGTTAATTATTCACACCTGTTGGATATAAATAACTATTTCTGAAAGATTGATCATTAACGGATGACATGGTCGGGCAAGTGACCCCATACCTTTTCACGTCCGATCGGGGAATCGAACCCCGGTCGCCTGGGTGAAAGGCAAGTGCGCTATCCACTGCATCACCCGACCTCTTTTATTTTGTCTTTATATATCATCTTAAAGTTAACATTAAGATTGAAATTATAATAATTATATAAATGTTCTACATTGAATTGTTGAAAATCAAAGACCTATGCTAAGTATCAAGGAGCAATCTTAGTACAAAAGTTATTTTGTCGAAAAAAATAATATTTACCGAAATGATCTATATTTAGCATTATGTGTATTTATGTACGATTTGATTATTTGCATAGATCAGAAGATGAATGATCAGTCATGACTCATTGCTATAACAATTGACTGAGCGAGAATTAAAGACATGCAGCTGTAGATTAGTATAGCCAATTACGCCAGTTGTCACAAACGTTCTTAAGGATCTTTAGACAGTGTATCAGCCAGTCCCCAGAGTCGGGGTGTCAGCCCCTTTTAGAGTCCCTGAGACAAATAATCGTCGTTTGAAGTTCTAGTTATGTCTGTATTCTTTTTTCCTAATCACAGAGTTGAATCAACTTCGATCAACTTCTGCACACTTAACATACAATGTCCCTTCTAAATCAGAATCCCAACCTGTTATAAATGAAAATAATATAATAATTCGAGTTTCTTATATACCGTTTTATCACACCCTATTTCGTAGGTCGTCTCAAAGCGGTTCACAAACTAGTATCTGTGGTTATTGGGTCTTTGCAACCAGTCAATTACTTTCGCAACTCCCTGGGTAGCATGCAGCCGGTGCTGCCATTTCGGCGCTCACAGCTAGTATTCAATAATTCTAGCACTGCCCAACCACTGCTCATTTACAGCTGAGTAGACTGGAACAAGCTGAGTAAAGAATCTTGCTCAGAGATACAACACAGTGCCGTGACATGACTCTTTGTAATAGCATGTGTATTTCCAGCATTTAAGTGATTTGCAGGTGTGACATAATATATTTCTTGCTAGTTTTCAGCAGTCACGCGGGTTTACAGCATTCTTGTTAGTCTTCAGCAGTCACGTGGGTTTACAGCATTCTTCTTAGTTTTCAGCAGTCACGTGGGTTTACAGCATTCTTGTAAGTTTTCAGCAGTCACGTGGGTTTACAGCATTCTTGTTAGTTTTCAGCAGTCACCTGGGTTTACTGCATTCTTGTTAGTTTTCAGCAGTCATCTGGATATACAGCATTCTTGTTAGTTTTCAGCAGTCACCTGGGTTTACAGCATTCGTGTTAGTTTTTCGGCAGTCACGTTGGTTTACAGCATTTTTGTTAGTTTTCAGCAGTCACGCGGGTTTACAGCATTCTTGTTAGTTTTCAGCAGTCACGTGGGTTTACAGCATTCTTGGTAGTTTTCAGCAGTCAAGTGGGTTTACAGCATTCTTGCAAGTTTTCAGCAGTCACGCGGGTTTACAGCCTTCTTGTTACTTTTCAGCAGTCACGTTGATATAGAGCATTCTTGGTAGTTTTCAGCAGTCACGTTGATTTACAGTATTCTTGTTAGTTTTCAGCAGTCACGTGGATATACAGCATTCTTGTTAGTTTGCAGCAGTCACGTGGGTTTACAGCATTCTTGTAAGTTTTCAGCAGTCACGTGGATATACAGCATTCTTGTTAGTTTGCAGCAGTCACGTGGATATACACCATTCTTGCTAGTTTTCAGCAGTCACGTGGATATACAGCATTCTTGTTAGTTTCCAGCAGTCACGTGGGTTTACAGCATTCTTGTTAGTTTTCAGCAGTCACGTGGGTTTACAGCAGTCTCGCGGGTTTACAGCATTGTTGTTTGTTTTCAGCAGTGACGTGGGTTTTCAGCATTCTTGTTAGTTTACAGCAGTCACGTGGGTTTTGAGCATTCTTGTTAGTTTACAGCGATCGCGTGCCTCACATGTTTGGCATACTTTGAACTAAAATTCCAATATCGAATGTAATAGAATATCTAAATAAATACTGATTACAATGTAGCTCTGTTTGTAGAAACAGCATTATTAAAAAAATATTATGAAAATATATTAGTAATAATGCAATATAAATGCCAGCAAAAACAACAATCAATAAAATACTTTCATATGCAACAGCATTGACGCTAAATGCAGGGACGTTATTAACGGATTACAACACCTGTAAAAATAGTTATAATCACAATATCCGAAAAAAATCAACTGATTTAAATACCTGAAGAAATGTCGTAGATTACATAAATTGCGGAAATATTACAATATTGCAGAAATTACATTGATGGATTATTTATCTTAAATTATTGATAATCAGAAACAACCTCAATTCACATACATGTATCTATAAACACACCATTTTATTAATTACAGTACCTACAGAAACAAGAAAAAATATACAAAATATTTACAGATTTTAAATATATAAGGAAGCGTAAAAGCTGGCTCCATTATTCTCAATTGTAGCAAAATCGTACACGATATTATTTCCGACCAATCAAAAGCCATTCCATTGTAAGAACTAATCGACAGTCCTGGTCATAATTTCCAATGACGAAATAGAAGTCTCAATAATCGCGAGTCATAATATAAAAAAAAGAAGAAAAAGAAGAAGAAACACAGCAATATCAGTAAATCTGCATGAAAATAATTTGCGATTTATAAATTTTGCAGGTTTATTATTTAATCAATCAAAGGGAAAATGAGCTCAAGGACACGTATCGATTGATCAACATATCTAATATTGAGAGTATACTTCTCTTCTTGATTAAAGTTACACTGATGAAATTAGTATACATGATGAACGTTAATTATTTACAAGCGTATATACTAAATATAGGCATGAGCCGTTATGTGTATACCATATATGGTTTGATAACACCTCCTGTATACTGATATAAATCTTATCTGGGTTACATATTCACTTCTGTCGGATATGAATAATTATTTCTGAAAGATTGATCATTCACAGATGTCATGACCGCATTGTTTGATGTCTATGTTTCACTGTATTCCCGTATGGTATGGATAATTGATACATTGTAATACAAAGTGTGTTTGGGGATTGATTATTTCCATGTATTACGTGTGAAAAGTACATTGATTGTGAGTAACGAGTGCAAATATTGGTCAACATAAATAACACCCACATATGAGGCTCCATAATAGTGAAATAATCCAGAATTCAGGCCAAATAAAAATGTTGTTTATTTGTTAAATGTTGTAATACTAACTTTACAAATTTGAACAATGTCCATGGAAGTGTAAGGGGGAAATGATGCGATCACAATAGCACGAATACATAAAACAAAAAGGACAAATGCTAGATAATAAATATCACATCGATTATGAAAAGTTTCTTGTTACACAACCTTTAAGTGTTTCTAAGTGACGTTTCGATGACGTAGTACGGTATGTACTCTGTCACCTTCATCAGACAAATGACCAGTGAAGCGTATGCACACAAAGGTGTTAAATTTGTACGAAGTATCCACAAATCGATGTCGATTCGGCTACGCTGTAAGCGTATGTACACTAATTGTTATATATGTACCAGATTTTCAGATTTCAGATTTTATTTCCAACACTCAGACACATGAAAATGTGTAACATGAGGTACATGTACATGAATTCATATATTAAATTTTGACAGGATGGACAGGTGCATGCATGTATACAAGGCAAGATTGTATTGACACTCAGACACATAATATGTGTTACATGAGGAAATAAAGTTGCAGATATGGAAAATGAAGTACAATGGACAGTTCAATTTAGAATCGGTACGGTATAGTAACATGATATGACATACAATGGAAAATACAAAACAAACATAAAAAACAACCATACATATAATTCACAAGTTATTTAACTATTAACAGTTATACATATGCATCATTCACAAAAGAGGAGCCATTTTGGTTAGGAAAATAGATAAACCTGTCAGAACTCGTTGATTGCATAATGATAAAAGACCTTTAAACTTATAAATATTTGGGTTTGTGCAATAATAACGGGGAATATATTTGTTACGTAAGGTGGATATAGTTATATTATTACATTCAAATATATAATGAAATTCATCTCCGACACTTTCCGCGCACAAATTACATAGTCGATTATCTCGGGGTATGTTATACCATCTACCTGTTTCAATTGGAAACTTCAAATTCGAGGTGCGCAGTTTTGTTATTGGTGTTCTGATATGTTCTGGCAGATTTAATAAATATTTTTCTAGACCAAATTCCGTTTTAAATAGAGTGTAGAACTGCCCACGAGATGAGCTAGTAATGTCATCGAACCATTGCTGTACAAAGTGATCGTTAAGCCGTTGTTTTAAAATGCATTTGTAAAATCCATCAGGCATATGTAATTTATTATCAAATATGTAAGAAAATCCCGTTTCATTGAAAATACCTTTTATATAGTTAATCCATTTGAACTGAAGAGTATCATCGTTTTGCATATGTAAAGCTAGTCGTAGTAATATGCTGCTGAGTTTGTTTTCATTACTAATTATTCTATTCCAAAAACCTAACATTCTTAGTTTAACATTTATTTCCAATGGCACACGACCTAGCTCGCCATAAATCATAAAATTAGGCGTTGTGGATCTCACTTTAAGAATTCTTTTACAAAATTTGAGATGAATCTGTTCGATTATTTTCAGGTTTTCGAATCCCCATACATCCGATCCATACAATAGAATCGGTTCCACTAAAGAATCAAATAGTTTTAATTGTAAATCTATAGGAAGAGAAAGGTTCCTGATTTTTTTGTAGATAGCAAATATTGACTTTTGGGCCTGGTTGATCAATCTGCGTCTTGCGTTTACAAAACTGCCATTGTAATTAAATGTTATTCCTAAGTAAGTAAAATTATCTACAATTTCTAAAATTTCATTTTGTAATACAAATACATGTTGTTGTTTACTTTTCCTCTTGCGAAAAACCATGACTTTTGTTTTATTTACATTTATATTAAGCTTCCAAATCTTACAATACTGCTGGAATACATTCAAAGCACTCTGCAGTCCCTCTGGACTTTCTGAAAATAGGACACTGTCATCAGCGTATAGGAGTACAAAAATTTCTACAAAAATATGTAGTTCATTATACAGCTTATCCCGTACATTTTCGAGTGGAACACAACTTAAAGAAGCAAAATAACTTTCAATGTCATTAAGAAATACTGAAAAAAGAAAGGGGGATAAATTTTCCCCTTGTCTAACCCCGATCAAGCAGGGGAAAAAATCTGACGTTTTCGAGTTGAATTGAACACAGGATTTAATATTATTATACATGTTATAGATAACTTTGAAACATTTCCCGTTTATATTGCTGCTATGTAATTTTTGCCACAGACCTGCTCTCCAGACGGTATCAAATGCCTTTTTAAAATCGATAAAGGTACAGTATAGCTTTTTGCCACTTGAAAGAAATATAAAGAAATGAGAATATGCATAATAAAAACGTTGTCTATAGTTGAATGACCTTTTCTGAACCCTGCTTGACTTCGAGATATTAAATCAATTTGTTTTTCATATTCATTAAGACGGGTATTGATGATTGAAGTAAATAGTTTACCAAGACAACTAATGTACCGAAATGACTCGGCTCCGCAACGCCTTTTTTAATACTTGGTCATAGATGTTGTACATATTTAACAACTATTGTACATACACGTACAGGTAGCCGAATCGACATCGATTTTTGGACAATTCGTACACATTTTACACCTTTGTCTGTTGAAGACGACAGAGTACATACCGTACTACGTCATCGAAACGTCACATAGAAACTCTTATTGGTTGTGTAACAAAAAAACTTTTCAAAATCCATACTTACAAACTAGAAGGAAATGTGTAGAAGTATCACATCGAAAAAGTACTAATGACTTGCAATTCCTTTATGGCAAAAACAGTCATTATAACCATTCGATATGAAAATAAAGTTTACTTGTATTTGTTTTCTTATTTTTGTTTTTAATAATTGAAAAAACTACAACATAGAAATTCACGGGTTGATGTAAAATCTTCATTCTGTATCATATTATTATTTTAACAGTAAATGTTTTGATGAAATATATAATAAATGACATTTGCTACATTGTACAGGTATATACATGTATCTGTTCTCACGAAAATAATTTGAATATTTTATTCCTCGGCACATTGTAAAAAGTGTAATCAACGTGTTCTCCACATGTTAAACAGTTGACATATACATATATGGTGATCTTCTACGAATGAAAAGGTAAACACAGGGATTAATTCAACCAAGCATTAAGTTGCTGCTTATTATTAAGTCGTCGTCGATGATGAAAAAACGATTATCATTCCGAAACACCTGGTCTGCTATCCTTGTATTCCCTCAAGGGTCGTCATGTTAATCGTTAATTTGTTCGCATTCTGTACTAGTTTCATCGATTTGGAGTTCTAATTATTGTTTCGATCACGCTTTGACTTCTCTTGCCTTTTTGTGATCTGTTCTGTTCTATTTTCTTTTTTCTTTCTTGGATCATGAATAACTGAACAGTGTTCAGAAGCACACTGACACAAACCAACACAGAGTTGCTCGATGATTGATTGTATCTTCCATACATTGAGGGTTTAACAAAGACATATCAACCCAAGGAGTGATATTCTTAATTGTATCACCAGAGACTTGTTTCATGCTGACACTCAAGAATCTCATTTCTGGCATTACCTCACCGTTGGGAAATTTAAAGGGAAAGTATAGCGGGATCAATCTCAGGTTGGAACTGCACAAAAAAACCTGTACTTTATAACACGAAATGTTCGTGGGCACTTTCCGTCGTGGTTTGAAACCATTTAGATCGTTTCGTGGTACACACTTTCGTGGGAATCCTATTTTAACAAACAGTAGACACGTATATCATCCAAATTCGTTTGTATTTATTTTCGTGGTTCAACATAGCAACCACAAAAGCACGAACGATTATACACAGCGAACATTTTAATAATTAAAACGATTTCTGTCATCAATATTTAAGCATTGAACTGTTTTTGTATGGTATGTATGATCTATTTGAATGACAACACAGCTTTGCAAGCAACATAATGCGCGCTAGCGCTTTATGATTTGCAAAACAGTTCAATACTTATATTTACGTTTCTCTGCCTCTTATGGTTTTTTTTCACTTATAATTTATTTTTAAAGTTAAAAATGCCCGTCTTATCGACAGTCCACACAATTTCGTTCAATAGTTTGAACAGCGTATTTGTCGCGTGCTGATTGGCAAACAAAGTAGTACTTTGAAATTTTAACAAACACTTCAATTTTATTCCACAATTCAGTATCAATACAATTGCGTATGATATGTCTATAGGGTAATTTAAGTTTATCAATAGAACTCTGAGCTGAAAGTTAGATTTGAAATTGTTTCGATTTTTCCCTGGAAATCCGACCTTGCCTCCACGAGAGAGTTATTTTTGGAAGTTAGTTCGAACTTTTCTCTTTGCTCATTTTGTGAAGAATCCAGGCGTGAATGTATTTGTTGATTGTATGGGAACCTGACAACAGTCGGTAGATTCTATAACAGCATCGTTATTTGACATGTCGTCAAAAACTGAGGAACCGTGGATCCGAGACGAGTGAAACTGATAGCGTTTGAAGTGAGTGATCTTGCGACGGAGCACAGGTTCGTTACAAATGTCTGAAATGTTAATGTGTGCTATGACTCATATCAGTAGGTCTGTAACATATGTGTCCGTAGGTCTATAGAATATGTGTATTTCAGACATTTGTAACGAACCCCTGTTGATCAGTGCAGTGTAACAGACGATATTTCTGATAAATTGCATGAGCGTTAAAATTGTTTCCATTGCCGGCATTGGTGATTTCAACCGATGTGCATTTTGTACGATATTGCAGACCTTGGTCTTGTTTTCGTTGTAAAAAAGTGTTTTTTATTTTATTTTTTATTTTGCACATTAATTTACAATGACATTGTCAAATCTCACAATGCCCAGCGATATTTCAGCAGTCGTCATGTTTATTTATATTGGATATTGTAGTTCCGGTCAGTGTTGTATTAATACGCTAAGACTTGTGTCTCGTGATGCATGGCAATTAAAGTCCCATGAACGACACAGCTTTCAAAGAGGCTATATAGTGACAATGCCATGCAAATGTAAATATTTCATTTCAACGCTTGTAAATGATCACAATATGCTAAAAAATGAAATCGATGGTTTACTCAAAAACAAATTGTGATGATATTATGGAAACTTTTTTCTTACTCTAAACATGACGTCATTTTGTGTCTTAAATTTTAAAAAATTGCTTCTGTCTTTTAACTCGTTGATTTTACCAGGTTACAAATGTATTTCACGGCTGCAGTAATGGTGAAACGTTCGTACAAGCAATAGGGCAGTGATAATAATTAGTCAGAGACAAATGATGTTTTTATTCTCTGTTTAATGGCAGATCTGGGCATTCAAAATATAAATGATTGAATATGAAACTAACAAAGACGTGATTAACCAACCACTGCCAAAGTCAAACATATCAGACATAATTCGACGGCATTTTGAAAAAGGAAACCAATCAGTACTGAAATTATTTGACAATCTGTCGGAGGATTTGACATTAAATAGGATACGTGATTGATGATGATATATCGTACATCAGCTGTACATTATTCTCCGTATCGGCCGCAGATATGTTTGTATGGGTATTGTGATTTCTGGCAATTAAGATATGGCCGAGCCATTATGTCTTGACCGCTGCCGAGATCAGGTTCAAATGTGTCCTGCCACCAGTTTCAAATATCCCTTTCTTGCTCTTTCAGAGTTGTCAGGTTTTTCTAATCCTATGGTAGCACAGAAAAGAAATGGCCATTAAAAAAAGGTAAATACAAAAATAAAACATTTGCAATAACAAATATAGTTTACTTAACTATGAAATTATTGATGTGGCGTCCACTGTAGAATCAATATAATCCACTGGTACTCAAAATTAAATGCTATTAGGAGTTAAGATAATGTTTTCGCATTATCATAAGTATAACATATATCAATTGGACCTTTACTCGGAAAGTCTGACATCTCCATCTTTTTGTCTGTCTGTCTGTCTGTCTGTCTGTCTGTCTGTCTGTGTGTGTGTCTGTCTCTCTATCTCTCTGCCTGTCTATGTCTGTGGATTTGGTGTATGTCAGTATATGTTGTGTTCTTTAATAGCAATAAAGAAATGTAAAAAAATGATGATGACGATGACGATGATGATGATGATGATGATGATGATGATGATGATTTTGTTTTTTATGTTTTTGAATATGTGCATATGTCATGTTTATGTCAAAACCAGCCGTTACCTAAAGGTCAAGAGTTCATCTGTTTTATCATCGTCATTAACACGTGTGCATCACTGATCGTATTAAAAACCGTTTGACAATGGCATACCCCAAAAATAATGCTAGTTAATAAAATAGTTCATATTTGTTTGTAAATTTTAAAGAAACACTACTTTCAGCCGGTATTTTAACTCTGTATTTTAACAAATTGATAATAAATGTACAATGTACCCGTAGGCTGAGTTAAATGTCAAAGGGCACACTAGTACTGCCGGTGTTGGTACAGATACACAATGAGGGCGTGTGACGTAGATACTTCTATAATCGATTTCAAGGTGTGTCTTCGGTCTATACTCGTGGTGACGTAGAAACTGCGTCAGGACAAGTAAGGAAAGTTCATGTTGAGTGTGAAGTATCATGTTAACCTGGGCGTATGAATTTAAAACAACATATCTGAATAGGGCTTAATACTTGGGTTTAATCAAACGTGACAACTGTTCCCACTCCTGATACTTATTATTTCATAGGAATGCTTGATATCACGAATAGGCATCTTTGTTGAGTAAAATACACATTTTGATTTCCACATCTCAAATAAAAAAAAATAAAAAAAAAAAAAAGATGTAAATCTGTCTTATATTACAGAACGTATGCCTACGCACATAATAATGGACCAGACCTACTATTTCAGAAGCCAGACCAATTTTATTTCTCTCGGCTTTGAATGTCATTTGGCTTTGGCAGTTTGTACTCAATAACTTTTACCTGCCATCATTACCTAATCAAATTAGACCTATGAAACTAGCATTTCATGATCTTATAACCCTTCAATACACTTAAAGATGTATCGACCTCTTGTAAAATTGATTGTAGTATTATATGAATTTAAAGTGAGGAACATCTCTTATGAATTATCATATGTATAAGCGTCTGGTTGTCCTTGTTCGTAAAATAACTCGGTAACTACTCGGTAGCGAAGCGGACGTAATACCAATCAATCAATTTATCAATCAATCAATTGTTCGTAGGAAGTAACATGCATTAAATATGAGAGAGCATTGCATAGTTACTATATGGGAATGTAGTGACATTTTGGACGAAGTACCGTATACGTAT